GGTGATCAATTTCTTCCTAGAAGATCTACTGTTTTAAAACTCGTTATATAAAAACCGTCCTCTATACTGATCTTTATATTCTTTTTCGCTACAAAAACCACTGGAAGAATAAAGAAAAAAAAAAAGAGTAAACTAAATAAAATTTCGACCAGGCAACGATAGATTTTCGATTATCAAAAACGAGCGAGTGTTAACCGTTCCTTTCTAAAAATATCCCAAAGAAAAATATTATTTTTCATAATGCTCGGACGTGTTTTGATTAGAAAAAAAACGCAAAATGTATAAAATATTCCTCGAGGAATAAGTTTATGTTAGGGCCTGTTGATGTAACCGCTTGTTTGTTTTTATTTTGATCAGTTGTCTGGGTTGAGAAAGATCTTATTTTTTATTGAAAAAAGCGCATAGCAGCTGTTTTAAGACCTACCTTCTGTAGACTGGTTCATAGTTCACTTTAAGCATGCTTATATTTTTAGCCGACCATACCAGCAGGTATGGTAGGCTATTAAGATCGGCAAATTTTTTTTTATTTCACTTAAAATGAGTTATTTGGGTCATAAATGACCTAAATACAAAATATTTTCATGGTGTCTGTCTGTCTGTCCGTCTGTCAGTTTGTCTGTAACAAGATAACTCAAAAACCGCTAAACCGATTTTAACCAAATTTGGCACAAAAATACTGTGGCACCTGAGAATTTGGCCATTAGTTTTTGGTGGGGGTGGGGGGTTGGTAAGGGGGTATGGGAGGGGGTTAACAATTTTAAAAAATCGTAACTCCAAAATTACAGTAGCTAGCGAAACGCGGTTTTCAATTTAAGATTAGGGATAATATTTGCAACAAAATTTGTAATAACATCAAAATCAGTCAAAGTCGCAGTTTTTGAGATAAAAAAAATGGAAAAATTGCTTTACTTTGAAACTAAAAGAACTGTCTACCAACTTTTTATTAACATATTTTATTATGGGCGGCTATACGTGTCTCCCGGCGCCATTTTCTTATAATAAACGATCTCCAAAAACGGCGTCCAGTTGGCTTACAAACAACGATCGATAACATTCCCCATATAAGTTTACATATAAAATGACAGCGATCTTCATTTTTTCCTAGCCATCGCTGACGCCGTTTTTTTTTCGATCACATTGTACATTAAAATGTATAGAAAATATTTGAATAGAAATGTTAACTAAAATACTGGGTGTGTTTCACAAGTGGCTCACCACTATAACTTTTTTATTTTTTCAGATAAAAAAAAAACAAGATTTAGTATGTTAGTATGCGACATAAATTAGGATTGATTGATGTGTTCAATTATTGTTTTCAGTCACTTCCTGTTTCACCGGATATAGTAGTTATATCCGGTGAAACAACTTGTAGAAGACTGATACCGGAAACGACTACAACTTTTGAGTTTGAAATGGTTTGACTTTTGAAATGGCACCCTCCTCAGTATATTTTTACTTTATTCGATAGAAAATAACACTGAATAAAATGACATATCGTATGTCAACTTTTGACATTTTCGCATATGGTTTTATTTGAAATTGTAACATGGGGTTCATAACGACACAAATTGACTCGAAATACCAAGTGTGTGGTACCAAATTATTCGTAAATTTTTTTCGCCTTTTCCAAACATGCTAATGTACCAACTGGTTCCATTTGAAAAATTGAGATGTGATTTAAAAAAAAATCATTTGGGACTATTGATCACCGGTGATTCAAAAAATTCTTTTTTTAAATGGAACACCCTGTATATTATTGAATTTTTGGCTTCCTTTCAGATCATTTTACATAATCCTAATATATCAGTAATATATATTTGGATAGTTTCAGAGATATTAATAAATAAATTAAAAAAATATACATTTTTTAGTCTTTCTTAAAAAAATATTAAAAATACAAGAACTAGCCTGAAATCAAAACTGTATTAGCTATTTACTTTAGATGGTCTGTACTTACTTTGCTATAAATCGGCATACGGGATGTTCAAAATTCTACGCCAAACTTTCTAAAATATAAAATATTTTTTTTTAGTTTTTTTAAACGGAACACCCTGTGTATTATTTTTTTATTAGATGGACAATTAAAAAATAAACATTTTTTGTATTTAGAAAGTAAATTTTTATCAAAGTATTTGTATTATATGTATTTTCTCTCGTATTTTATCACTGAAACGGCCATATGAAATAATATTGCGTGTATCTGCAAAACCATTAAAAATTTTGAAATACTTTAAATACAAAAAATGTTCAATTTTTAAATCTCCATCGAATAAAAAAATTATATACAGGGTGTTCCATGTGTGTTCCATTTTAAAAAGAGAAAGAAAAATTATTTTATATTTTACAAAGTTTGGCTTAGAATTTTAAACACCTTGTATGATTTACAATTACCATAATTAGAGCAAAGTTAAGTACAGACCTTCTAAAGTAAATACCTAATATAGTCTTAGTTTCAGGACAGTTCTTGTATTTTTAATAAATTTTTTAAAAAAGGCTGAAAAAAATATTTTTTTTACATATTTATTAATATTTTTAAAACTATACAAACATATTAAATATCTTAGGATTAAGTAAAGTGTTCAAAAAGGAAACCAAAAATATAATAATATACAGGGTGTTCCGTTTAAAAATTCATCCCGATCCACCCACTCTTCTACATACACCCTAGTACTGTGCTAGTACATACTTTAGGCTAGTTTTTTATTCTACGCGAGCTACAGATGCCCGACGCCACTATTGCCGGACCATTTAATCACTGAAACGGCCATATGAAATAATATTGCCTGTATCTACGAAACCATTAAAAATTTTGAAATACCTACTTTAAATACAAAAAGTGTTCATTTTTTAAATCTCCAATGAATAAAAAAATAATATACAGGGTGTTCCATTTAAAAAGAGAAAGAAAAATTATTTTATATTTTACAAAGTTTGGATTAGAATTTTAAACACCTTGTATGATTTACAATTACCATAATTAGAGCAAAGTTAAGTACAGACCTTCTAAAGTAAATACCTAATATAGTCTTAGTTTAAGGACAGTTCTTGTATTTTTAATAATTTTTTTAAAAAAGGCTGAAAAAAATATTTTTTTTTACATATTTATTAATATTTTTAAAACTATACAAACATATTAAATAAATAAATAAATAAATAAATAAATGCCTTTATTGTCAAAAAATTTTTCAATTTGTGGACAAAGGTAAACTAACAAACAAAGTAAAACAAAACAAGGTACACAAACAAACAAACAAAAGATAATACAAAACTTTATACAAATAATATTGTCAGTCTTATTGTTAAAATAGACATATATAAATGTTTACAATGTCAAAGAACAAAAAAAAATAAAATAATATTCAAAAATATTTAGCCAGTTTATAGCAAAATATCAATAACCTCTAAATAAATTAATTTCGATGTCATTAGTAAATATAGCAATAGCAAACATTAGACCAGTGTTTTCAAGATCAAATTCGATTTTCAATTCAAATATAATTCATTTACGGCCTAGAAAGCCTTGTCTAGTAAATAAGAGTTCAATGCTTTGCGAAATGAAAAAAATGATGTTAAGGATTTGATTTCAAATGGCAGGTGATTGTGCATTTTTTTCGAGTTGTATAATATTGAACTTTTAACTAACTCTGAGCGTGGGGTAGGTAGATAAAGATCTTGCTCCGCGTTCCTGAGTGGATAAGTGTGAGATGGCCTTTCTTGAGAAGCTGATACATGTTTACGTATTAGGCAAACGGATTCAAATATAAATAAGGAAGGAAGAGTCAATATTTTTAATTCTCTAAAAAAGCCCCGGCAATGAGTTCTGCTGTTTAGTCCCAGTGAATATCGAACAGCTCTCTTCTGGAGCTTGAAAATGCGGTCAAATTGAGCCGCACAACACGTACCCCAGAATGGAAGGGCATACCTGAGGTGCGACTCAAAAAGTGCATAATAAACAGTTCTAGCCACTGACAAGTTAAGCTCCTTAGAAACAGACCTTAATGCAAAACAGGCAGAGCTCAATTTTTTCGACAAAGCTTCGATATGTATGTCCCATTTCAGAGAATTGTCCACAACAAGCCCTAAGAATTTTACGGATTTTACGACGTCAATGGTGGTGTTGTCAAGTACAAAAGGCTGCAACGAGTTTTTATACGACAAAGCCTTAGTTTTAGAAATGTTGAGACTCAGGAGGTTCGAATCGCACCAAGATTTAATGGTGATTAAGTCATTTGATATAATCCTATGAAGTGCCGCGATGTCCTTGTTGCTCCAAGTGAAGCTAGTGTCGTCCGCAAAAAGACATATTTTGCCACTGATGTTTATGTTAGCAATGTCGTTAATAAAAAGAAGAAACAAAATAGGGCCTAGTACTGAGCCTTGTGGTACTCCACATTCTATTGGCTTGCTAGACAACGTGGTATCCACCCTCACAAGTTGACTTCTGTTGCTCAGATACGACTTAAACCATTCGAGAGATGATCCCCTGAACCCATAGTGCTGCAGTTTATTAATTAGGATCTTATGATTTACACAATCGAACGCCTTAGAAAAATCACAGAAAATTGTTGCTGTAGAATGATGGTTGTTTAGGCTGGAGTAAACTTATCTTAGGATTGAGTAAATATCTTAGGATTGAGTAAAGTGTTCAAAAAGGAAACCAAAAATATAATAATATACAGGGTGTTCCGTTTAAAAATGCATCCCGATCCACTCACTCTACTACATACACCCTAGTACATACTGTAGGCTAGTTTTTTATTCTACGCGAGCTACAGATGCCCGACGCCACTATTGCCGGACCCCGTATAAATACTCTCATCACACTCCAATAAAAATTCGCCACGCCTCCACGACTCTCTATCGAAAACGCTTTTTTATTTTCCTCTATTTTCACGGAAAAACCGGGCCGGCCTATGCGAAAACTGCCCGCCCGGTATCTCTTGCCAAATCTTGATATTTTTGTTTCCAACTTAAATCTCAATTCCCGCGTCTCGCAGTTTTTTGAGTGAGTATACCAGCGCGACGACCGATTCACCAACCGTGTCCAAAAATCGGCCCGCAAAACTATCGAAAAACTCCGAAAATATAAACCGGTTCTTCTCATTAAGTGTCGAGGTATATTAAAAAAAACGCGAGTGTAAATAAAGCTTGGATATTTCTTCTGGAAAGTTATGCCGGCAAAAACCCTAAAAATATGAAGAAGATTTAGTGTGAAGCTGTATAAAAAAATCGCTTGTGAAAAAAGTTGGGAAGCATCTAGAAGTTTTTATTTGTGACAGAAGACTCAAAGTGCGAAAAAAAAACTCTTCTGAAACTAAGATATGCAGTGTTGAACAAGAAAGAAAGCTTCAATTGATTGAAGTAATATTATTGGAAGCAATCCTTAACAGATAACCTAGAAAATATTTCACAAAAATATATTTTTTTAAGTCAAGAAAATTCAGTAACAAAGAAGAAAAAAATATCCAGTGACGGAAGATGTTTTAAGATATATTACTGGAAGCAGTCTTTAAAAGATTCATGCTTAATTTTAATCCTGGAAATTTTAAATTAACTTCTTCCTTCAAAAGAGAAAACCTAAAAAACTATTTTACCAAAATAGGTCCCTTTAAGTCAACAAAATTCAGTGTTAAAAAAGAAAAAATTGTTTCAAGTGATATTATTGGAAGCAGTTTTTACCAGGATTAAACTTTTTTTAAAATTGGAAAGCAGCTAAAAAAATCGTTCTCCATAACAGAATTCAGTGTCCAAGAGGAAAAAAATCTCTAAAAGTAACAGATGTTTTTTTAACTGATGTTTAAGCTATTTCTTTAAAGACTCAAAGTGACTTTTTGCAAAACGGTTTCGTAAAGCAGTTTTGAAGAGATGGGTTTTAAAAAAGAACTTATTAAATATCCGATATTCAGTGTTAACCTGTAAAAAACCGCAAGTAACAGAAGCTGTACTGAGTGATATTATTGAAAACAGATGTGAACGGGTCAATTTTCTGGAAATACAAATTCTACTTGATATAAAACCTATCAGGAAATTCCAGATAAAGCTTTTTCTTAGATCAAAGTTATTCTGTGTTGAAACATGAAAAAAATTGTCTGAAAAAGTTCTTTAGAGTGATAGTGATAGTAGAAAGCAATTTGGTTTTCTCCATAATAAAAATCTTCAAAAAAACAATTTTACATCGAAGATTTTTCAGGTTGAAAGTAAAACTTAGCTAAAGTGGCATACTGAAAGCAGTTTTTAATTATTCTAAGTTCATTTTTTTGAGAAAAAAAAACCAAAAGTTGATTAAAACAATTAATATTGGCTAATGAAAAGAGTTGTTTGGAGATGGATTCATTATCTTTTTTGGAAGCATCAAATCCACTACAACTTCAAAAGAACAGCTTCTTTGTGACAAATTAATAAAAAGATACACAACTAATAAGTTAGAAAAAAGTTGGAACTAGTCAGAACCTTCTTGTGTAATGCAAAACTCTTGAGGTATTTTAAACACAATAATTGTAATAAAAAATAAATTTAAACAATAAACTGTGGCTATTAAAATCATTTTACTTAATAACACAAGTAACTTATCTATGAAAGACCAATTGAATTATAGAAAAGTTAATAAGAAGAACAACAGGAACATACAGTGAACTAAAACAAGTTAAAGGAGCAATCCAAAATAGTTTGTGACAATACTGAAGCAACATATAAGAAGAATTTTCAAAAAATTCTCAAGACAGTGTGAAGTTTGGACCTATCTGTTTGTTTGTGAAAATTGTCGCGTACAATTTATATAAATAGACACCTAAAAAACAAAATTTTAGTTGTTTTTCTCGGACTATCCTGGATAAAAACCGTCACGTATCGGGATGCATCCAGTCTCTATCCAGACAAACACTCCGTTCGCGGCATGCTTCATATCATTTTAATAACTCAATCGGCGCGAATTTTTGTCCAGGCCTGTCATCCGTATAGCAGCCGCGGTCCAAAAATTTCGGCTTTTGCCCACGCCAGTCGCTTTGATTTGAGAATTCGCTGCCAAGAAAATAGCACAAATGTTGCCACCGACTTAATTGTGATACCGGCGACATAATCAAGTGGACGAACCTCAGCCTTATGCAAAATTATTTTCATTGCTCAGTTTGCCAAATAATGGCCCCCCGGATTCACTTCCATTCGCGATGAGTTTATTTCTTGACTAGTTAACCTCTAAAACGCGGAGAAAAATGGCAGAAAGAGCCTCTCAGAAACGAAAAAACTTAGGTAGAAGTGCCTCAACTGAAAGCACCGAGTATTCCATCAGCATGGGGCGATCGATCAGGAGAAAAAAGCCGAAAGAACGATGGTTGCTGACGAGGAAAACCTGGAAATACATGGCGGATGCAGGAAGGAAACTTATACCAGAAGGCGCAAAGAACTGCCCCGAAGACATACCGAAAATTGAGGCGCACTTTCAGGAACTGTGCAGGAAAGAAGCCAAGTTCTTGTTGTGGAGGAAAAACTCATACCCTGGTGCGTTAGGGTTCAGGAAAAAAAGAAAGAATGTCCCGAAGAAAGGAGGGAGTTGCCGAAAGGCTATGTCAGAAGGGGAAGTTGATATTCTCAAACCTGAACGACCCAAAGATTTACTTCTGGAGCCAAAAATTCCTGGAAAATTCGATATTAAGAAAATGCGAGAAGATTTCCTTAACAGTCCTTCAACATCTACACCAACAGGAATACCCTCAACATCTGCAACGCCTGACCACGAAACACATGAAGATAAACAGTTGGTAAGCATGCTAGAACAGTATCTTCGTATGGCTAACACTCCTGACGCTCTAAAAACAGGGTCTGCTGATTTTAACTACCAAGAACTGATTGATAAGCTTCAAAAACATCTTACTTTAACATCGAGTCGTACCAGTTCTCCCTCACACTATAGTAGTAACAGTAATCTCTCACCAAGAACCAACCTTTCACCATATCAGTCATCAGAACAAGTCAACTTCCAGGGAGATTACGTTCAAAGAAGCCTCTTAGATACTCTTTCAAGGTACTTTAGCCAAAGTCCTCACAGAGATAAGGTGGTTTCTGATCTGCTCACTGACCGAAAGGCTTTGGAGAAACTTTACTTCGAACTCAGAAAAGCCAAGGGTTTCAGGGGAAGTCGTGGAGGTACAGGGTATTCTTCTCCTAGTGGTTATCACTCTCCATCCAGGACTTATCACAGTACTCGTCTGGGACTTAGTCATCGAGACCGGGAAGGAAAATTCGTTCCAGGACATCCACCTCCATTGATTGAAGTCCAAGGTGAAACTATTGAAGTAACTTACAGGAATTGGGGAACTCAGACTTTGCCAATACCTGAACATGTTTTGCTTGAGTGCGAGAAAGCTTACAAAAAGCAACAGGCTGAAGAAGAGGAGGAGAGAAAAGAGAAAGAGAGAGAAGATAAACATAAAGGAGGTTCTAGAAGGAAATCTAGTGTGGAAAACGACGACGTGTCTCAGTCTGTATCAGATACAATTAAAAGATACTTAAGAATGGCTAGGAAAAAGAGTGTGGACTCGGACAAACTAGACAGTCGATTCAAGCGAGTGAACTATGACAGAAATTTGAGGAATATCAAAGCTAAAGGGGAGATAACCAAGCCCGGGGATGACGATGGGCTGAACAAGGGTTGCCAGACGAACGACGAGTGGATTGTGACGTATCGCGATCTTAAAATGGCGGACGTGTATGACGTGTCGGACGATAGTCGGATCTCGAGTGCGAGGAGTAGTGTGGACATTGGGGTGTTCGAATTGGAGGGGGGTAAGGGGACTCCGACTAGCCCCCCCAGTTCGAAAAGTGGTCACGGGTTCTTGAGTCACCTGTTGCACGGAGGAAAACATGATAATAAAGGTTAGTGTTATAACTAATATAATAAATAAAAGAATAGTTATTTATGCTACTAGTGTGTTATCTTATATACAGGGTGACGCACCTCATTCGCCTCGGTTGATTATACGAAAAAGGAAAGATGTATAAACAAAGTATTTTATGGGCAATGTGCAGAATTTAGAATTATTTTGAAATATACAGGGTGTTTCAGAACTAAAATCGATACCAAAGTTATATTTTTTCTTATGGAACACCCGGTATTTTATTTCATTTTTGGATTTTTGAGCCCAAAAAAAGGCTTTTATTATAAGGATTAAATATGTTATTAAAAAATAAAAAATATTAAAAATCTTTGGTTTGTGAGATATTTAAAGATATTTAAATTTGCTAGAATATATTATTAACACCCTGTACATTACTTTTAAGAATTAATTCTTGTGCTGAGTTTAAAGGTAGAGAAATAAACTTTACTGAAAAATGGTATTGCTTCCCTAAATTTATACAGGGGTATCAAAAATTGTTGATCTATTTAAGGATATATTTTATATAAAAACTTCGTTATTTCAAATGCAATACCTTGTATTTTTTTACATAAATCGAAGTAGATTCAAATGCTCTTTCAAACTATATTAGGGTTTCCTATACCTATCTAGCTCAGGTTTTCAATAAAAATCGATTTTTAAATAAAATTGCAATCAAGGTGGCTGGTGTCGCAATGGCAATTTTCTAGTGAGAGTTAGTAACTATTTTCAAAGTCGACATTAGTTTATGGACATTATTATCTATAATTTATAACAGTTTACTTAAATTTACCTACAATAGTTTAATAGATAATATTTATTAAATATGTATTTATTATTTTTGCGATTTTTAACGATAAAATAGTGAATTATCAACCACCAAGTCAGATTTTAAAGAAAAATCATTCAGGAAGATCTTCCGCAAGGAATTATTAACCAGGCAGAGGTGGCTACAGCAGAAATACTGCCAGAAAAGTCTCGTGGCGTATATGATAGGGAATTCAAGGAGTTTGAAGAGTTGATGAAAGTAAAACATGTCAAAGGTATAAACGTAACTATCTTGCTCGCTTACTTCTTTGAACTACTACAGAAGAAATTTGTTCCATCATCCTTATGGACTAACTATTCAATGTTCAAGTCAACTCTCCTCAATTTCTCCGATGTCTAAAGGTGAGTTTATACAAGTATGTCATATAAACTCAACTTTAGACTTCTTTCTTAGTCTTTTAATCGATGCATGGAAACAGGTACAACAGATTTTTCTTAAAATGTCAAAGTCAATGCCTACTCATCATTCTATTTTTATTCATAAAGGAAATGAAAATATGATGTCCCTTTAACAGATTCAAATAATAAATGTAACTATTTAGAGGAGTGAAGATTCAAGTCAATAAAATCGAACAATTCAACAATATCTTGTTAGTATCATTATCTGCAATGTTTGGTTTTTCCTGTACGTATAATGTGAACATAAATAACATATCTTTTTCCGTGTTTTTATTCCTTGACATATTGTTTATTTATTTTCACTCACTAGTTATAACACCGCCTCTTTGTAAGCCTACTTAAATATTTTACATTTGTGTATATACTGTATGTCATACAATTCGTTTTGTTCAAATATATCCAATTATTTCAACGAAATTATTTTTAAAATAATATCTGTGTAAAAGTGATAATGTTTAAAATATGCCTAATGTATTGAAATAAACTTTATTATAACGTATTAAAAGCTTGCTTTGTTGAGCTGAATCTCATTGTCCTTTTATGGTACCAAAAAGCCTGAGCATATTAAATTTTAATCGATTTTAATAAATGTAAAAAAAATATAAAATAATCATTGGTAAATAAAAAAAAACTTAAAAGAAAACAAACTGTAATTCGAACGGCTATGGGTAAAGGCAGGTTCTTGTTCAGGATGGTTCATGACATATATTTGCCTGAAAAAAATAACTCTTTGTGAGTATGCCGGTTCTACAAAATTCCTAATATTTATTATTAAGGTAAAATATCACAGTTCAAATGTTAAACGGGTATTAAACGCAAAAAACCCTTCACAAATAAATGTCCAAAACATATTACGGCACTAAACGCGAAGAGTCCTCTCTAAACAACTGGTTAACCCTTGCCACCAGCCTAGTGAACCCTTCCCACTAGCTCTTCAAACAACTGGTGAACCCTTGCCACCAGCCTAGTGAACCCTTGCCACTAGCTCTTGGTGAACCCTTGCCAACTAAATAGTGAACCCTTGCCACTACCAATAATAACTTTAAAACAATATATTTACCCTGTACTAAGACGTGCAATGACACCAAACGCAAGGGTCTGTTTCAGTTACCGAGACAAACAAATCTTTATAAAGAAGATACCTCTTTAAACTAATAACTCTTAAATAAATCAATTATAAATTAAAATAGAACATGTATAGAATGCATACTCAGTGAATCAATTCACCCTTTAATGTAGCTTTAAAACTGCCACAAGACTGTTACAATTTTGTAACTGTTTAAGTTAATTATTTAGCTCGTATTTAAGTTAACGTTTAGCGACACTCCACTTCTTTAAAAGATTCAAAAGCCACTAAATGCTAACCCAAATGTTTAATATTTGGGTTGGCATGATCCTCTCTGATATTGTGTGCATCTTTCATAAAAAACTAGAAGCCTTAAGATATTTTTTAAGTACCGTGACCAGCGTTCTGTTTATTAGGTTTGATCTCACAGCGTGTTCCCAACATGTCTGTGACATGTTTGTGACTTCTTCCACACCGGTGTTAATGCGCAGGTCTCAAATAATGCAGTTTCTTATCGATTTGAAATTGTTTGTGTGAACAGCGAATCCCCTACTCTTCTTTTTTGATCTAATAATACCACTAATTTTAACTTCTACGTAATACCGAATAAAGAAGAAAACGAACAGGGAATTAACCAAGACATCTTTTAATGTTTTTGATTTTGTTCTTTTTAATGTTTTAATGTTTTGTAATTTTGATTCTTGGGCCTGACCCGTTCCTCCATCAGCTCTTTTAGGTCTGTATCTGTATCCGAAAATTCGGACGCCTTAGATTCTTCGGTAGATTCAAAATCGCTCATTTCTTTTCTTTATTTTTTGAAGAAAAAAACACTAAACAAAAACAACACACGTTTTGTATGTTAAGTTTACCAATATTAATGACGTCGGGTCGCAATACGCATGAGCCGGACACTTTACTTGCAAAAGATCCGCGAACAGGCCTGGCTGTCAGCTAACAATCAGAATTTTCTGTGCGAACAGCGTACTGTTGGTTGGAAACCAATCACAAAGTTCTGACTGAATCCTTATATAATTTTATTATATACCTCTACTGCAAGAAATTTGTTTTCTATTTTATAATTTGGCTTGCCTGAAAAAAAAAGCCTTTTACCATCCTTTTACTATCGATAGTTGCGCCTCGGTGGTACGAAAGTACTACCATTGCACGCAGGCCGCTATCTCGCGATGCGGGACTTAATATCTTACCGCTACTTTACGACAAGTCGTATGTATATACTCTGCGCTGTGCTCGACATATTGTGGAAACGACCTGAGCTCACCTGATGATAGGGTAGGGCCCCGAAATCGGTAGTGAGAGCGGGTTGATCCACATTATGTCGAACACAGCGTGGAATTAATTTCTATATAAGCAGTTCAAGGCAAGAAACTCTTATATAATTTTATTATATACCTAAAAACTGCAAGAAATTTATTTTCCATTATATAATTTGGGCTAGCCGAAAAAAGCCTTTATTTACTATCGATAGTTGTGCCTCGGTGGTACGAAAGTACTATCATTGCACGCAGGCCGCTATCTCGCGATGCGGGACTTAATATCTTACCGCTACTTTACGACAAGTCGTGTATATATACTCTGCGCTGTGCTTGACATATTGTGGAAACGACCCGAGCTCACCTGATGATGGGGTAGGGCCCCGAAACCGGTAGTGAGAGCGGGTTGATCCACATTATGTCTAACACAGCGTGGAATTAATTTCTATATTAGCAGTTCAAGGCAAGAAACTCTTATATAATTTTATTAATTTATAATATTCCGATCTCCTATTTGAAAATAGTAAAATGATTTTTCAATGAAATTTTACGCGAGGATGCCAATTTTTCACCTGATTTGTTTTAGACATCACAAAAAAAAACACTAAATCACCACAATACACCAAAACACTTTTACTTTTACATTGGACGCGCGTTTCGCTAACCATGTTAGCATTATCAGCAGATGATTTTAAACTAGTGTCAGTTTATAATGGTTACCAAAACGCGTGTCCAGTGTAAAAGTAAAAGTGTTTTGGTGTATTGTGGTGATTTAGTGTTTTTATTTTGCTGTGTAACACCAAAGGTTCCAACGCTCAACTGTAATCTTAGACATCACATTTTACAGATACGATGCCATCTTGATTTTTTCAAATTGAAATCACGCATACTTTAACAACGTCCGGGGATTGAAAATTTAAATCTACCAATTTTAAGATGCGTATTCACTATCCGAACGAACAAACGAATGTTCATTCGTTCGTTCTGTAGTAGTATTGACGGGACCGGATTTTAGAACCAAACAAAAACACCTTAAGGTGCGTATTCATTATCCGAACGAACGAACGAACGAGCGAGCGTACGAATGGAATTCGGTATATTTGGACGGTGGACCGAACGCATGCGGTCGTTCGTTTGTTCGTTCGCTCGGCCATCCGTTTCGAGTCGGTACATCAAAGGCGTTCGCAAACGAATGGGATAAGGTGTTTTCGTTTGGTTCTAAAATCCGGTCCCGTCCATACTACTACCGAACGAACGAATGAACATTCGTTCGTTCGGATAGTGAATACGCACCTTTAACCCATTCGTTTGCGAACGCCTTTGATGTACGTTAAAGTTTTATTTTTTTTATGTAAGGCATTCTCGCATAAAATTACATTGAAAAATTCTTTTACTATTTTCATACAGGTAATAGAAAAACTATAAATTAAAATTAAA